TGAATTTTTTATTATATAAAGTATTGTGTTTTACAGAGATTTCGAGCACTGATAAAAATGATAATCTCACATGTGAAATTATTCATGATAATCTCACATGTGAAAATTATCGCCTTTTCAATTATCGCTTTTCTGTAAAAATTATCGCTTTTCATTTAAGACTATCCTTTATATAATAAACAGAAAAATACATGGGTGGTTGGAAATACCAGATTTATTTTTCGTGTTGAACATGACATCTCACTCGTTCGCTGCGCTCACTTGTTCGCTGCGCTCACTTGTTCGCTGCGCTCACTTGTTCGCTGCACACTCATGTTCAACACTCGAAATAAATCTGGTATTTCGTGCACCCATGCATTATTCTCTATTTAAAGGACAATGGCACCGAAAATTTTTATTGGCTATTTCAATCCTACTTGACGACCTAACTATCAAAATATTATCATTTCGTTCTCAAACATTTTAGTCTACGAGTAAAATGCATTCAAACTTTGTGTTTCGCCGCCATCTTGGAAATATTTTTTGACAAATTATCTCGAAGGTCAATGAACTTTGTGACGTCATTGGATGGGTAGCACTAAAACTACAAGAGAGAATTCTATTGCATGCGTGTTATGTTAGCTAAAAATATGTCGTTTTGAGCGTTATACTGGCCAACACTCTTCGCAATCAAACAAGATAAGTCTACACTATCAGATAAAAACATATCGAGCGACTGGGAAAGCAGGGAATGGCACAATTTACAATACAGGTAATTGATCATAAAATATTGCATTAGTATTTGTCTTGTTGCACTCGAATTTCTGCGTTTATTTAACACGGAGTAGGATATATACTATGAGAAATAGTGTTACAAACAAATTACATACTTGGTAAAACTTTGCTGCCTTTTGTTTCGGTTCAAATGCACTACGCGTGGCAATACTCGGTATTGTTTATAGTCAAGAAATTGTTTTTACCCAGCCAATGACGTCAGATAATGTATTTTGAGGCATAAATTAGCATACGCGCTTATTTTCAAAATGGCAGCAACTGTTGAACTTTCTATCAAATTTTCTCAACAACTAAATGCGACAAACCGGCCAAAATATGAAATTAAATATTCCGCAAGTATACCCAAGAGATATATGTAATAAAAATTTTGGGTGGCAATGTCCTTTAAACTACAACTTGACTGGTTTAAATTATTATCAAGTTATCAGTGATTGTAAAAGTTGCAGATAGAAGTGTTTTGTTTTATATTATTATCAAGTTATCAGTGATCGCAAAACCTCCAAATCATTAATTTCAAATGTTAGAATGTTAGGGTTTGTAATCAAAGTGAGAATATATACATTTTAAGACCTAACCAGGAACGACTGCGAAAAATGCAGCATAAGGTCCTCTGGTAGGAATTGAACCTACGGCCCTGCGATTCCGGATCAGAGCTCTAACCAACTGAGCTACAGAGGCCAGCTGTTGAGCTTTAACCGTAAGTTCATGTATATTTAGGTAATTGGGTGTGCGGGTTGTGATAAGGTGGACTTCAATAATTTGGATTCTTGCACTTCACTTGGGGGAATTAAAATTAGAATGTTAGGGGTTGTAATCCAAGTGAGAATATATACATTTGCATATTCTCACTTGGATTACAAACTATTCTCATTTGGATTACAAAATATATACACCAAATATATACATGTACTATACCGGTACATTTGTATATTCTCCCTTGGATTACAAAATATTCTCACTTGGATTACAAAATATATACATGTATATATTCTCACTTGGATTACAAACCCTAACATTCTAATATTAATTCCACAAGTGAAGTGCAAGAATCCAAATTATTAATTTCAAATGCCCACCGGGGCTAAGGTTCGAGTGGAAATGCCCAACCCCCGGGATGTGCTTTACAGGAAAATGGCTGGGCGAGGGGGATGGGAACACTTGGATTTGGCTGATGCATTAAAAGTCCTGTGCTTATTCCAGACTGCTTGTCAAATATTTACTTGCTAGAAGTAGAAATTTACTCTGACCACTGGATGAAGAAGACATTAAATAAGTACTGGTCAATAAACAGAAATGTGTTTTATTTCATAGTATTACAATTTTATTTTTATACTATAAAAATAAAATATAAATATGCAGCATAGAATATGCAAATTCGAGGCAAAGTTATTGTTGAATCGGTATATTTATAGGATTTTATAACAAATAGCAACTATAAAAGTTTGTACCTTGTCTTCACCGATCGCTTTATTCTGTTAGCCAATGCTTTTAAATTTGCATATTTTAGAATCAGTTCCTTTCCCGGTAACTGCATTCCAGGTGATCTTGATACGCGGAAAAGTACTGGCACTAGTTGTCAAATAGAAATCCATTTTATGATTAAAACAACTGAATATCTCCTGTAATATACTTTATTTCGATTCCATATTTTTGTCAGAGCTATAGTTCTCATAACCAAACATAATTCCAAATTTCAACTAGTTTCATAAACAATAATGAAAGATATAATTGACTGAATACATCAAAATGGATTTCTATTCGGACAACCCTTTCTGAGCGCTGATTGGCTAAAATACGAACACGAGATCACCTGGTTTCTAAATGAAATCAAATCAACGTGAGTAGTGAGTGCTGAGCAGGCCGTTTTACTATAAACAAATTTTAGGAATTGATATAAACAACTTTGAAAATTATATCGTTGCACATTCGGTCACAGTCGGAATAATGTTCATAGTATGTTGTACCGTCGCTTGCAGCTAACGATGAACAGTTGCTCATAAAAACATTTGCGTGATTAGAATCTCCAATGTTTGTCAAGAACAACAACACTTAATTGTTGTTTCCCATGTGTGCAATAATAAGTAAAAAAAACTTTGTGTGGTCTGAACGTGTTGGGCTAGAGACCTACTGGAAACCTTTACAGGCTTTTTAATGAGAATAGAGAATGTTTTATCTGCAACTGTTCACCTTTAGTTGCAACCGACGGTATTTGACAGCATAAAATTGCCTGTGGCTGTGATAACTGATATAAATAAAATACAGTCTGGTTATACTGACTTGAGCGTGTCTTGACAACCTCTTTATTGGAAAATTGTGAAGAAACAGTCGAATATAGAGGGTCGAATATCATACTTCAACTCGTATAGCTACAGTAACATTAGTAGATTACTACATAGCGTTGTGAAGACAAGCCTTTTCTTACCTTTCGCTTCACTCAGCAGTCTTTTCCATGCTTCTCTACGCTTTCCCAGGCGAGCTTCTCTTTCCTCAGCAGTCTCCTCGAGCAAACGTTGTCGTCTTCGCTCCCTCCTTTTCGCTAGACGTTCGGCTTTCTTGTCGTTTCCTTGCCGCTCTTCATTTGGCTCCATATCTTTTCAATTGGTATTTGATACCATAATTGTTTTATTAAACTTTTTTATAGAACAAATTGCTTTGAAAGCTGTCAAAGTTTTTTGCAAACGTACAAAATACTGTAGTGTAAAAAGCAAATTATTTTCATGGAGTATCTGTCAGTTGAAGTCGTCATTTGTCATACAACAACAAATTTTAAATTTGACCAATCAGTGTTCGCTATCCATGACAGTCCGCCATATTTTTGAGATCAGTGAGGATGACCACCCACTCAACACCGTTGGTCACCCACGCCCGCGATATTTTATGAACTTTAGACTCCGCTAATGCTTTCGTTTCCCCGGGTGTAAATAGCCGGGGGGAATTAGTACCCTCGCACGGCGCTTCGCGCCGCCGGCTCGGGGATAACATGTACACAAAAAACAACAACAAACAAACATACTAAACAAAACAAACATAAAGCCCATTAATTATAGGACTAAGTATAAAGTTTTGAACAAATTGAGTCCGATTGAGTGTTCAAGGACGGCGATAGTTCCTTAATATACAACATTTCGTATAGAAGACACTCATACTAATCGTTGATTACTACCATGCTAAACCGTGCATTCCGTTTATCGTCATCCTGGAAACACTTCGTGGAAGAGTGTGATCGTCTAAAGAGCGTTTTTGCCAATCTACGATATCCTCTCAAACTCGTTGACTCAATCATCCCTGAGTTTGTAACCAAGAAATACGCAGAAATGAACAGCTCGACCCCAACTGAGTATGTGAAAAGAGATGTGATTTGCGTGGCCCTGCCGTTTAAAGATCAGAAGTCGTCTGATATCGTGTGAAGACAACTCGCAGGCCTTGCTACGGTGATTGGTGGAGCATTAGAGCCAGTATTTAAAAGTAGAAAGATCAAAGAGGAAGTTAAAGTTCACGGGATGAAACCACCAATTGTAAATCAACAACGCGTTGTGTATAGATATAAATGTGATCTGTGCGTTGCAGATTATGTTGGCTATACTAGTCGGGACTTACATCAGCGCATTGATGAGCGCAAGCGATCGGTAATCGGAAAACATATGAGGGAAGATCATGAAGAGGATGCGTCGAGAATTGAAGGTTGCTTTTCAATTCTACGAAAATGCCAAGGAAAGTATGAGTGTCTTCCACACGAAATGTTGTATATTAAGGAACTATCGCCGTCCTTGAACACTCAATCAGACTCGATTCGTTCAAAACTTTATACTTAGTCCTATAATTAATGGGCTTTATGTATGTTTTGTTTAGTATGTTTGTTTGTTGTTGTTTTTTGTGTACATGTTATAATACATTTATGAAAGACAGAAATATGTTTAATCTGTTTTATGTTTTCTTTTAAATGTATTTTATGTAATTTATTACGTCATATAAATTTAAATTTTGCATGCTTACGCAATAATTTGCTAACGTGACACGAACGGTTTAATTAAAATCAACGCAATATATGTAATTCTACTAGAAGTTACTATCGCAAGGAAAATGCTGCCTCACCCCAAATGGACGGCACCATGCGCAATTTGCTGAATAAGGGTCTGTTTATACGATCCCGCTTCGCCAGGACGAGATATGAGGCAGGATGATTTCGATGTATTGAAATGAGTCACAGTGCACAATTCAGCAAAAAACATTACTTTTCTAGAGATAGTTTATGGTTACTGTAAACGAAAGGTTGTTCAAGCAGCAATTATAATCTTTTTGAACTACAAGATCTTGTCTACAATATTTGAGTTCTGTTAACAAGCATTTGAACTTTTGTTTAGCCTAGTGACTTATTCCAATACATCAAAAATCATCCCAACTTCCATCATGTAAACAGGAAAAGTCGAAAGATCAGCTAAATGTATATAAATACATTCAATGCTTATAACTT